TTGCAGCATTTCCTCTCCAAGGCTGAGACTGTCACCTCTTGTCTTCTTAAGTGCAATTCGTCTGAGGCTTCAATCTGCAGTTGCGTCATCTCAAATTCGATTGCTGATGTGCCGATTTCAGTGAGTCCCGATCGTGTCCGCGAGATGCAGCATCTGTGTGGCCGCTCCTTTCACTGAGTTGTTCACAGTCGATTCGGCATCTCCATCATTCAGCTGTAAGACACGATGTCACAGCTGCTGAAGGTGCATTGCAGTTGTGTTTGTGATTTGGATCTGTTCTCGTCGTGAGTATGTGCTTTACAGGTATCCGGGTGTCTGCGTCCAACAACAAAGCACGTGTGATGCAGACGGTTTGAGTGGCAAATTGTCGTCTCACCGTTAGGTGGTTTGAGGCATCCCAATCGCTTGAGCCACTGGCAACGTGCCTAAGTGTATACCTGGGCTGCTCGCTCTTGCACCACAACCCCAAAATTAGTTGGCAAGGCTTGCGCAAGAATTATCTCAAATCTCTACGTGCCTAGAATGCTAACTCCGGTGGGCATATCTGCGATGCATCCCCGTCTTGTCGCCCACCAGAAGGCGATGTGAATTTGCCCTTCAAACGAAAAAACTGATGCGATGCCCTGTACTAGAGATTTCTTTCTTATCAGTGCTGACATGGTCCTGGTGACTGAGGCGTGATTTTGGACTGGCGTTCCAGGCAGAACAGGCGGTGAAATTTGACCAACTAAAGTGCTCTCCGATGCCACTTTAGTCACTTCTTGTTTCAGCATAAGGCGAGGAACTTCTGAAACTGCGATACCCAGTCGTTATTCGGTGGCCTGTTACACATCAGCATTTACATTCCATCCTGTCGCACGAGTGCTCGAGATTTATTTGTGCACCGGCCTCTCCACCCTGGCATGCAAACGTTCGTTTGCATATTTACTTAGCACGCTTAAACCCGAACCGCTGTCATCTTGACCATGAGGAGTCAACAGCACGATCTACGTTATTGGTGCGGGCACAAACAGGCTGGCAGGCTGTCCTTTGTGGACGGATGAGGGATGGCCACAACGCAGTTTGCGTGTGTGCTTGTGTTCACTGGCGATGGAGAGTGGCAATAAGCGCGGTATTCGAATGTGCAGGATTCGTCGAAGGGTTGTGGGTACTGCGCGAAATAAGCGCGGTTTGACTTGGCGAGAGTTGAAAGCGTTGCTGGATGGGCGTTGCCTTCATGGGCCACACAAATCTATCGAAAATTCAAGTGTTGGAAAGGCTTAGGGTCGTGTTGCAACACCCGACCCCTCATAATCCATGTGGCTTGGATACATCTTCGCCATACCACCTCACTACCGCATCCTTGTAAACGTGGAAATGCTGGTGCTTTCTCGCATTGACGGGTCAGACCAGTGCAGAGTAGTTTATGAGGGTTGCAAGAAGAAGTAATGTGGGTTCACACAGGCTTAATGATCAGCAGACATGGTGCCCGCTTACACGGTAAGGCACTAACCACTTTCCTTTGTCTAAGAGCGTTATCACCTTGTTGTAATGCATAGATTAAGGAAGTGTCAAGTCGCCATTCTAATTGTTCGAAATTCTACCCCGGGGCAGTATAAGCATAAGTGAATCATTTAAGGAATCAGGTCTCCCAATGGCTGAATCCCTAACTTCCATACCAAGGCCAGTGTTAAATGAGGTGATTCTGCCCCCTTCTCACCAATGGGCAGTACCATGGGTATTCAGCTATGCCATGGCCGAGCCACGACATGTGGCAATCACTGCTGAACCCACCAACATAAAATACCGCTGGTGAGATAGGAACAGCAAACATTGCGACATGTAGGCTGTAGTGCCGAAAATGCTCATGTAGTGTCCACCTTTGACAACATTGACATTGTTGGTGGAATGTGGTCAAAACCGTAAGAAGCCCATTTCGATGTGGTGAGTGTGTGAGCGACTGAAGGTCGCCGCGAGATTGTGTACTAGCGTCTGTGATTGGGTGGAGGGTGGGAGCCAGTGGTGGTTGAGACAGAAAGGCTCGATGGACTGTGGATATGATTAGAGCGTAACGATGATTTGTGCGCGGCTTCGTTTCGATAGGCTCAGGTAAGCACTTGGTGCTGCACACACTGCCAAACTGGATGTCCGAAGAGCACCGAAGGGAAGCATTCGATAGCGAAACACCTGGCGGACTTTGGAACGCTGTAGACCTGATTGTGCACAATGGCAACGTCTCAGTTGTTAGTGGAAGGATCAACATTTCGCCTCCCCTGCATGAGACAAAAATTTCTTTCTTTACTGAAGCACGCAAAGGAAGTCGGTGCGCTTTCAACCACGCAAAGCGGTCACGAGATACGGTGAGTTGGAACAGCCACCTCGAAGAGCCTAAACTCCGCTCTTTAGTTTCAGCTGCATTGACAAACAGTGAGCTGGTTTGGCGCTCCGAGACCGCCTTGAAGACGAAGGAGGACATTCCACTCCAGCAGAACACGCATCGCCGATGTACGGAATGGCTGGGATAAGGAGGAGGAGGAGGGGGAGGGAGGAGGAGGAGGAAATGGGCTACTGTTGTGGCTCAGGGGACATGCCGTCCAGCGGAAGTGCCGAAGCGGTGTCTTAAGGTGTCCACGTAACCAAAACAGGAGAGTTAAACATGTAATCACAGTATTGCAATATCACCAGCAGAGTTTGGTACAAAACTGCTTGATTTCCAGCAGAGGCTGCTAATTTGTACCTGGGGTGTGTTTGGGGCAATCCAGCCACCCTCGCAGTCATCGAGAGCATGTTGGGACACAACACGTGAGGGAAACAAAGCCCAGACTAGATTGGGTTAGAGTCACGTGACAGAGCGGCTTGTGTGAGTCACAAAACAATTTGGAGCCTCACACACCACCTCTACATCACCGCGCCTCACATTACGCACAATGGTGGCTCTGGCAGCAACCTGGCTGCCTGATAGGCGGTAGTTTTGGACAGCAAGGCTTCCACTGCAACACATATCTCGCAGGCGACTCTTCCGACATTCAAAATTTGATTGGAGCATAGTAGGGCGCAGCAGTGCGGAAAGCATCTGCCCTGTCCGAAATTCGAGGGGTGTCTGTGAACGCTCATGAGAGGCGCTTACGATTCATCTAATTTCCTATTCAGCACGAGGGTTGAATACGCAATCCGCAAACCACAAGGGAACCTCATGTAATGAGAGGTTACTCCTAGGACACGAATTAATATCCCACAGGATATCCTTCTCCGTGTTTACACTTTCTTGGTAAGTATTTGAGCCCAATGCCAACGTCGGATGGTGTCGACTCATCTGTGGCAGCCATTTCCCTCACCTTCAGGACGCTTTCTTGTCAATGTAGACGTGCGATTGAGAGCCGAAGGTCATTGATGTGGGTAATGCGTTTCGGGGATGGATTGCCTGGGCTTGCGACTAATTTCCCTCTCGATGTTGGCAACCGCAGAGTCACCTCCAATCAAGAGGCCCGATTTCCTGCCACTCATCGACTGCTGCGACCACAGGTTCAGTCATGGGGCTGATGTGAAAAAAGGACAACACCTCCCATGGTCTGGAGTGATGAGTTTGCTTGACACTGCAGTGATGGTGTTGCCGGGATGTCACTCCACTGTATCGCCCTGGAGCTGTCTGCCCGGCTTCTTCCCATGTCCGCTGCTTTGATCGCTCCACCTCCTCGTGCGCCCTCCACCCGAGCTGCTTTCTGCTATTCCATGTGATAAGAGCGTATTGCGAGGCTAAATTTTCGCGATGATGGTATGTAGTGGTGGTGGGCTTTTCAGTCTCCTGATGTCATGGGCTCGCCTAACGTTACGTCTACACCACTGCATTAATCATCGAGGATGCCTCCTTACTTCCGCTACGGGTAGCTGGACACAATGTGCACAGGGGGTGGATATTTGCGCCTACGACTTCTCTTTCGAAGCAGTTCTTCCCTCCTAGTATTGCTCCTTACCTTGGATTATCAACTAAAGGCAACTGATTTTCTACAGGAACTACCACTCTCTTCCTTGTACTTTTCTTTTTAGCGGAAAGATCATGAGATGGAACACTTATTCTTATTATTTACCACCAACGAGACAGTGTGTACAAAGGTAAGTCTCCGAATTTATGTAGAATTTCAAAAGAGTGCTCACTACTTGTGACAGGCATCCTAGTTCAACGACATCACCTTTTGATCTGTCAAACACACGCCTGTGTTCTACTGCCATCCCTACCAGAGAGAATCGCCCCCTGTCACTGGGAGCTGGCCACTTACTTCCATCACAGTCACGTTTACACACGCGATTTACATGCTTTTTGGCGGCACTCACTGCATCGCAGAAATTCCCTCTGCCAAGCTACGGCCTTCGTGTTCTCTTCGTGTGCTTCTCACAGTACGTTTAATACTCTTAGCTCCATAAGTACCTCCACTGATGCATTTCGATAGCAGGTGTGGACTTGCAGAAGTAAGGAGGGTGGAGGTGCACTAGTCCACTATAAGTGGTCACAAACTGGTCCCCATGGGGTGATGTTACTAGCGCCGTGCCACGATGACCCTGGGCACCTCAGACCCGTGACTGAACTGAGTCATTCTGCACTGCGGATGACACGACGCCTTCCAACACCTCAAACTACTCAACCATGAATGACGGAACAGCTGCTAGCAGTTATGCCAAGATCCACCTCTTTTTGCCATGATGTTGCCGCAAGCACCGTTTAAGCAGCACTCTTCATCCAGCGAACCCAAATCCACAACTTGATCAAGCAAAGGAACTTCCCAGCCTCCTGAGCGGAAAGCCATCTCCCCAAAAGTTATTCGTCAATTATGAGTGGGGACACGTGGTCCGGAAGGCTAATTCACTCTCTTAAATAAATGGTTGCAATGAATTGGAAGTGTGAAAGGCTTGCCTGAGGGATAGAAGTCGCAAATGACGCATCCTCAGCGAGGCCCGGCTATGAAGGAGATAGAATAAATTGAATAAGAAACGCAGTCAATGGTGAGGAACGAACTGCTGGTCTGGCGCAAAGATCCCGCCAACGTGCACGTGCGTTTGTGCTGCAACCATCCATGTGTGCCAGCCAAAACAGTGCCTCGCAGAGAGCTCTGCTGCTTGAGTGAACTGCCTTAGTAAGTCAGTCAGAATGAGCAAGTGTTTCCAAACATCAACTACTTTAGTGAATCGAAAAGCGGGAAACTCTTTTTGTATTTTCAAAGAGGCATTACTAACGAGGTGGAAATGTCACTGACAGCATTCGCTCAGGTTTGAAGGCTACTTACTTGGAAGGGGTAAGGGTGTGGATGGGCATCATGTCTGGGGCCGTAATGTCCCAGTTTTGTGCTGCCCCGACAACTACGCGAATGCGTCGTCGCCACGGTTCGGGGCGTTAGGGCGGCTGACTAACTTCACACGGTGTATCGATTTCCGATGAGGGCACGGTACAGAGAATCGATTTTGACTGCGTCCGCCCACATTTGTGGTGTGCAGACCACCAGTGGCATGCTCGCTGTGCAGTGTTGGGGCTGTTGGTGTTGTATGTATTTTCAGGCCAAGTGACACTTGTCTGCCGCGAACTCCTTTTGAATCGGTAAAAGGGATGCGTCTGTTGCCAACGTGTGCTCAGGCAAACAGGAAGTCTTCACGTATGAGGGGGAAAAAGTGTTTCCATGACTCCATTAGGCCGTTTATCTGCAGGCCTGCACGGTCGCAGGTCGTGGAATTCCGTGCATTGTGAGTGCTGTGCTCTAGGAAAGGTCACCACGTTGTTTGGTGACTGATAGCATGGAATTGAGTCGGCCTTACCACCCTAAATACAGCCGCCTCACTTCAGTCAACTACTATGTATGCACCGATCCGAAAGCGAAGACTGTAGCCCGGCTACCAGTGGGTTGTGAGAAGGCTGGGCACATGATCGAGGAAAAATGGGTTCAGGTGGCATTTTACTCGAATGAATGCTTCCTCGGCGATGGGAATGGTACCAACACAAGCGAAGTTACCAGCTGCTGTCACCAAAAACCGAATCACCAACTTATGAAAGAGTATTCCGATTATTCCACATTCATTACGAAACGCGCTCCTTTGACCGAATTTCAGACGCTCATGCTGGTCTCCTTCAAATGCATTTGCAACGGGAAATGAAAAGTAGGCTTCACAAACAAAACAACTCAGTTGATGTCAGCAAAACAACTTTCGACGAGTTTGCCATGGGAGGAACGAGAAGATGAAAGACATTCACTTCACTTTTTCTCTTAGGCACGAAGACAAGAGATTGAGTAAACATGATTAACCTAGTTTTCCAACAGTTATAGCGCCTGAGGGTAAGAATCACGTCTTATTTCAGGCCAAAATGCAGGGACGCAATACCCGAACCATCACTGCCTGTCATTTCATCAGCAAATATTTATTCGTGCCCGATCCGCGAATTCCTCTGCGCAAGACGGGCACCCTCCGGGTACATGGGAACTCACCTTCCTGAACTCCTGCATGGAGTGAGAGTCGGTCTAACCACAAGCTGCAGAAGAAGCCCTCCAGAATAATCCATTCTACTGGATGGCTCCCATTTCACCCATTTTCCCAAGACAAAACTAGCAGTAACAAACGGTGCAAAGGAGAAGCACCACAAACATCCACCACCAACTCTGCCCGGCTGTCAAGTTCGCAAAACAGATTCTGCCAACCTAAAGCGTTTGTATGGAATGAGTTGTTCCAACAGGCCAGCGTCCCATTGGTGGTGGTGTGAGACGAGAAGAGACAACCTTCACTGCCGTTCCGACTCCCATCCCTCATTGCTGAGACTTCCAACACTTCTGTCCACCAGTGCATGATTACCGGCCACCGTAAACGAGGGCGTACCGCTCTCACAGAGACTGCAGTCTAAGCAGCACAAAACAGGCTGAATAAACTACCCACAGGCTGCCCTATTACCCAAACACAACACAAAGTTAAAAGAGGGTGTCTTATTGCAAGTTAGGATTGTGGTTGATATTTATAAAGGTGACCTAGTAAAATTTCGTCGCAAGCGGTTTATCCAAGTCTCTACATTCATGAAGCCCTAGGAGCACAAAATGTCAGACACAAGATAAATGCATAAATTCAGCACCTTACGAAAGCAGTGGAGAAAAGGGTAAGTGGAAACCAGTAGGAATCGGCCAAATGTTATATTTCCAACAGCCTCCCTTGCGCCTATTTGCCCTCCCAAGCATACACACGGAAATGTACCTTATCACATCGTTAAGACAATGCATTGTCGGCAAAAACACGACCATGAAAGGTAGAGGAGACTTAAAAATATGGAGAGGAGAAAGTTAGGCAACTCTTCTGGCTGCTGTTGACACAGCAGGCGCACGTTTGGTAGAGCCGCTGACGGAGGATACAGCAGAGGGGGTTTTAGGCAAGAAGTGCTCATAGTAGCTGCGCGTCAAATCTGCCATCAGTTCAGGCGTGCACTCAGGTAGCTCGGCCACAGAACGTCCAGGCGAGCCGCCAAAGACGGAGAAGGGTGGAACGATGGTCTCGGGAGCGAGGACTGTGTTGTCTAGTAAAGCACAGGCGTCCTTCAGCACACACCGCCTACCCACCACACAGTTTTGGCCGATGTATACGTAGGAGCCGACTTGAGCAGCGTTGACCACGGCGCCTTCGCCCACAAACACATGGTCGCCAATCTGAAGAGGGAAGAAGGCGACTCCCTTGGAGAACTTCTTGAAGGGTGGCCGAATCACTGAGCCCTCACTGATGACACAACGTCGACCAATGCGGATGTTCGCCAAGTCGCCGCGGATTATGCAGCTTGACATGATGATGGTTTTACCGCTCAGGACGATGTTCTGGCTGCCGCAGATCGATGCGTTGCGACTCACTTTGTTGCCACTCGCTGTCTCCACGTATTGAGAACTATCATAGAAGATGTCCTGAAGCTCCATTGCAAAGCTGTGAAGAAAAAACATGACTAAAACTAGTTAATTGTTTACTGAAAGAGAAAGCTAGTCAAATTGACAAAGGAATCAAAGGACGGAAAAGAACAACAGTCGAAGAAAATAAAAGATAAGACATTTTGCCCCCACGCTACAGTCTATACACAAACTGTGGTAATGGAAAAGGGTAAGTCGAAAGGAGAAACACAGACTAAGGACTGAAGCCAAGAAACCGAAAAATACTCATTTAGGGGAAATAATGGTAAGATGGAAAAGAATTAGCTCACCTCAAAGATACTAAGATGTAGTGGGTATAAAGCGCGCTTTCATGAGCAAGTACGAAAGAAAACAAAAGTCAAGTGATCATAATCAAGATGAGAGTCATGAGTGGAATCAACTGGCTATTAAAACGCCCAAAGAGGAGGGAAAAAGAGCACTGAGATATCCTTAAGCATACCTCAGAGAAAAAGACTGTAAAGATGGATATAACAGTGATGCATAATTGCTATAAAAATTAACAGGTTGAAAAGAAACATCTAGAGCGTGAGCAGGAGTGAAGAAAACAGCAACTTTGTCTAGAAACCAGCTACATCCAAACTAGGTGCACAAACTAACTTATCAGGATAGAGCAGTTCGGATGAAATGTAGATATACCTACCAACTCTAAAAAAAAGTAAGTTCACAAGCCAAAGGAAAACTGTGACTTAAGTAAAAAATACAAGAGAAGCGCAAACCATACACCCCAGGAAAACCATTATAGGAATTGTAGTACATAAAGAAGTCATTGCATTGAAGTGAGACTAGTGAGGAGATTAGATAAAACGGCGTTAACGAGACCTCGATTAACAAAAACCAGCATTCGGAACCGGGGCGTGCTGGAACGACCGAACTATGCACCCCGCATAAGAGGTGACAAAACGCAGAGCTTAGCAAATAAATTTAAAAGCAAAAAACATAACGAACAAGCCTAAAAAATATTTTAGCCGTGACAATATATTTACTTAGTAGCCAGTTATTTAAAGACCAAAAAATTGCCGTCAAAGGACAGCTAAAAAAAGTTAACTAATAAAGCAACAGCTAAAAGTTTATAATTGCAAAAAAGGCTGAAAACAACTTACGTAAAGCAATCTCAGTGAAGGAAGGGAGTGTCTTCGGCGGTGCCGCGAAGTTCAAAAGATGGATGAATTTCGTCACGAACTCAGTAGTGTGCCGCCAATCACGAAGGTCTATACCCTCCTGTGCCTTGCCCTGACTATCAGTGTTGTAAGCAGACTTTCACGCATATTCTTTTAGCACCTTCATATACTCTCCCCTCTGCAAATCTACTTCAATCCCTACCTCATTTTCCACGACTTTCAGGTATTCCTTTTATTCGGTTGTAAGCGTTATACCTGTGTAGCTATGGCGCCTGGTATCCTGTTTCTGTTACTTCGGCACCATCGACTTCAACTTTCTCTTCAATATGGTATTCGTCTACCGATATTGTCGAATGCTGGAGGAGAATCAGTTCTATGGCCGATCAGCTGATTTCCTCATGATGTTTCTGTTTGGAGGTGTGCTCTCCATAGTAAGTCATCGGATGGGGAGTAATGCATGACCACCTTGCCTCACCGTAGATTGCGGCGATTTTACTGCAGATGATCTTCCTCAGTCACGTGTTGACAACGATGTTGGTGTACGTGTGGAGTCGTAACAACCCTTCGGTGATGCTGAATATCCTGGGCCTTATCACGGTTCATGCACCCTACTTACCGTGGGTTTTCTTCGCCATTTCCTACATCCTCGGCAATAACGCCACCATGGATTTTGTCGGTAGGCATGTTGCCTTTCAAATCCACTCTTGTCTTCTTGTGCAGGTATTGTAATTGGGCACCTGTACTACGTGTTAGAGGACGTCTTTCCCAACCAGCCCAATGGCTTTCGGATTCTCCGTACGCCCGAGTTTCTGTGAGTACCGTCATCCCTCCTGCCTCTACTTCTGCTTTCTAAGGTGGTGTTGTGTTTAGGCGGAACCTGCTGGACCGACGGAACGCTGATCCCGCCTATCAGCCACTGCCCGAGGAGCGACCAGGCGGATTTGAGTGGGGCGCGCAATAGGACCAAACGCTGCGCTCATCGCTGCTCACACCTCTCACCCTCCCCTCTTGGGATATTTTGTTTAAGTATTTTGCGATGGATTTGAATTTTATCTTTACCCACGCGCTCATGGGCTTGCGTGTTGGTTCCTCCTTACTGCCGTCAAGTCAGACTGGTGTTCATGGGAGAGAAATTCACGAAAAGTGGGGATGTAAACGCGATGGGAGGACCGTCAGTGTATTGTAAATGCAATGGTGCAAGTAGGAACGTGTGTAGGGAGACAGAGCTAAAGGTGTTGGGTTTTTGGCAGCGGGTTGGCAGTAAAGGTGTTCGTCGATATACAGAAAAAGACGAGGATAGGGTGTAAAAAAGCCAGGTCCGGCAGCGGTTGGTAAATGCAGGTAGTTGAGGTAGGAGGGTAGGGGTCAGTAGGGAGAGGTTATAGAGGACGGGGCGTGAGGGTATCCGAATGGTCGTGGTGTCCATCGGGGATGAGGAGAGAGACTAGGTGCTTCTCAATTATTCGTTGGCTGGAACGGGCACCGCGACGCACAGCGATTTGAAGGGCGTCCCAGCCCTCCCCATTAACTGCTGTCACATCGGCACCCCAATCAAGCAACAGCGAGACTATAGCTACGTGGTTGTAGAAGGCAGCAAACATGAGCGCCGTATTATCTAGCTCGTCCACTGCATCGACGGGCAGGCCGGCGCGAAGCAGGTACTGCACCACATCATAGTGTCCTCGACACGCCGCTAGCAGCAACGCGCTCTCCCCATTCATGCCTCGCACATGTGCATTGGCGCCGCGAAAGAGTAGTAATTCCACTGCTGCCTTCTGACCGTTCGCGCAGGCCCACAATAGTGGCGAGAAGCCCTAAGCAGAAAGATAAGACCCATTAGAGACTGAAGCGCGAGTAGAGTATGCACTAGAACCTGGCTATACTGCCCAACATTTGAGGAATTTATTAAATAATATATTTTAAAAAAGTGGTCCCCCGTATAGGGAAGTAGCACTGCTACCACTACTACATAAAATAGTAAACAAATTCACGGAAATGATGGAAATCCAGTAGCAGCCACTTACCTTATCGTCGCGCTCGTCAATGTTGACGCCAGGTGTGTCTAGTTTGGCTTGCAGTTGCAACAGTTCACCTTGAGCTGCCATTTGAAAGATGGATAGAGCGACTTGTGAATCAACTTTGAGGGTTTGCACATTACGTCTCTGAAGGTTGGTGAGCACAGTGGTGACCTTGTTAGGGGCAGAAGAAGAGGTATTGTTGAATCGAGTAGAATCCTTTCTGGGTAGAAAAGAAGGCGTCGGCACAACAACGCGACCAGGCATATTGTCAAAGCATCGCAGAAACCAACCCTAGACATTCAACCAAAGCGCAGCGAAAGCCATGAGCTAAAACAAAACAGAGAAAGTGCTCTTTTAAGCTATGTGCTTCCTTGTGTCATTATTTAAAGTTGGCAAAGTTTACTTTGACGTCGTTTAAAACACCTCAGTTTATAAGCTTTTTAATTTTATTTCAGGTTAAATCTTATGGTATTAGGCCGGATATTTCATAAGAAAACCATGTAGTAAGAAAATTATTTAGTGACGTGCATGACCTAATTATGACACGTGTAAACATAACATTAACAGAGCAAGATAGTCTGCTGCGATCAACGTAAGCTGGAACAAACTACACGACCGTAAAACATTAGGCGACTCACATCTGTTCACCTACTTGCATCCAATTAAAAAGACTATCACTCGATGGTAGAGAGTGGTACGTAGCTTCCTGAGACTTCCTTGAAGACGAAAGAAGACACAATACTCGGGCAAAATATATATATTCAGCACAGAGGTGTCTGGGCTACTGGTATGGCCCAGAGGCCGGGCCACCCAGCAAGATACAAGAAGACTGATTCAAAAGTACAAAAGTGGCTCCTCAGCAATACCGAGGGATAAACCATTGTTGTGTTACAAGTACGTTCATCATTTCCCTGAGAAAAGAGACAAAATAATTGGCACAATATGTATTGCCATAGTATGGAAAGTCCGGGTGGAAGGGTTAATAGTGTGGTTCAGAGACCGTGCCGTCCGGCGGATATGCTGCAACAAACTAACTGCCTATTTGGCTCGTGGTTTTGGCAAGGGGCTACTAAGGTGCTCCACCTTCTCACCCTTGACGCATGGACTGCCTTCGAGCCAGGCCAGTTGCTCCAAGCACCACTGCAATGTCCCGAAATCTCCCTAAAGGCGAAAGGATGCATAAAACTTGGGCAGAATATATGTATGGCACAGCCTGAAGGCCAGCCTACTTGGCGTGGTAGGATGGCCAAGCCAAGAGTGACTTAACCAAAAATGAAAGTTTTACAGCCATTGTGTGATTCTACTCCATGTAAAAACATACATATATTATCTTTGAGTTTATTGATTTCTTTTGCCCTCGGAAAATTCGCGGGGCGCGACACTTGTGACAGCAGAAAGCGTGAAAGTCGGCTTACGATAATGATAGTCAGAGCAAGGCACAGGAGGTTATAGTGTAATACGATAGTGGTTTATCCCTCAGTTCTGGTGAGGCGCCACTTTTGTACTTTGAATTAGCCCCCATGTACCTCGCTGGGTGGGCTGGCCTTTTGGGCCACACCAATAGCCCAGACACCTTCTCCGTGCTGAATATATATATATTCTGCCCGAGTATTGTGTCTTCTTTCGTCTTCAGGGAGTCTTGGGACGCTACAATAGACCTTCGTGGTTGGTGGCACACTACCGAGATCGTGATAAAATTCATCCATTGTATAAACTTTGCAATATCTTAGCTTTTTAATGAATTTTGCAGCAAAAGTTAAGCAAGTTTCGAAAAATAGAGGTTTTTGCTGCTTTTGTTTGAGTCAATGGTGCTGCCGTGCCCTTCTTGAAATTAGTTGGGTCGAAATGACGAAAGATTTATTGGGTGCCCTTAAGGCGGTATGTTGTTTTCTCCTTCTTTTGTATAGTCATTTTTCGGATTTTTCTTTGTGGCTTTTGTAGCTAGGGTTATGCTTCTGTACTTTCGATTAACCCAGAATTGCATGCTTTTTTATTTTTCATCGGCTTACTTGATTTCATTATCTAGTTAGTGGCTTGGATTTTACTGTGTCTTCTCTTTCAGCACTTTTGTTGCGATTCATTCGCCTTTTTAATCCGTTTTGCACAGGGTTTAATGTTTATGACATTTTCCGAGGTGTTTGTGGACCTTGTATCTGCATTTTATGAGTTTTTGTATTGCGGTGTTTTTCGTGTAGTTGGTTCGTCTCTCAGGCCTTAGATGTATTTTGTGTGCTGCCATTTTTTGTCTGTAATATCAGTAAGTTAGAGGAAAATCTAATTGTTTAGAAACTGCTTGATTTTTTGCTAGAAGTAGTGTTTGGTGGCTTCATTATCTGCCGTTTAGCTTTGAGGTTTTTCGGTGCTGATCGCGGCAAATGTCTAGTATGAATCCATTATTTGCATATTGTTTTATTTGAGTAGTACAAAAAGCACTGTTGATATTGGCATTATTTCGTGAGATCCCTACTTTCGTCTGGTATTTTACATCGACCCATGTCTTTTAGGGTGTTTAGTTGCTTGTATTCTTACTTTTTGGCATAGGTTCATTTTTTGGCCCTACTTGAGTTCTATAACTCGGTATTTTGGCCGCATGGGATACAAATTGTAGTGTTTACACTTAATTAAACGTTAAACTGGTACATACGGCAAACCGGCAGATTAATGTGTCTTTCCCACCACTGTTTTGTTCTTCGAACCACTTCCATGTTGTGCCCTGTTTACATTCAAGATAAATGAACATCTAATAATGAAATTTTTCACCTGTAAATGTGGTCTTTGTAATCTTCACGCATGTTTATGCCAAATATATTTTAAACTCCGTTTGACTGTGTTAATTCACCAAAATTATTTGTGGTCTACACTAAGCAACGTGACGAATGAGTGAATATTAAGGACATACGCAGATTTCCTGGTGATGCATTACGATGAGATATTTGAACATTGACTTAAACCATTTAGAGTGCTTATAAGCGTTCGGCATGCAGACGATTCAGTTTAAAATTACAAGAGGAGATGAGGCTTCTTTGCCCTGCGATCTCTGCAGATCGGGCTACTATGTTTCTCGGTTCATTGAGATACTGATTTTGGAAGCATAAAATCATTCTTTCCAATAACCCCGAGGAGCATAGCGAGCGAGTATTATGTATTTTTGTAAAAAAACAGTGATAAACCATACCACTCTTATCGTGGTTTATTTGCATGGCTAGAGAAAGAGTCCCACTATGAAATCGAGACCCTCGATTTTGCAAGCCCAAAGGTAAAGCTGGAATGCCGTTCATGGTAACTGCATGGAAGGGCTGAGTAAATACACCTGTGAACGAGATACCATGCCACAACCCAAGCAAAATCCTTCTGATTCAAATCAGCAAGGGACTTCTGCTTTGCTAAGCAATAAAGCTGGCAGGGAAGAGACCGGAAATCGTACCGACTTTTAACGCACGAATCCCAAAAACGAGTTGAGACTTTTGAATGGACAAAATACAGCAACCTGTTAAATTTCTGTCAGAGTTTTGGCTAAGAGGGAATATTTTGTAACACGATTTTTAACTGTTAGAATAAAAGAAGAGAGTAACTAATATGTGGATCCAACAACCCAAGTTTTAATACATTTGGACATCGAACCTCAGGTTCGTATCCGGGGCCGTTTTAGGCTGCATTGGAAGTGGGGGAGGGATGGGAGGTTCGCTTATGGAGAAAGAATTTATAGGAAGAGCATTAATTAACAATGTTGCTATTTACTTGATTAGCCATCGAACTTCGAGATTGAGTCGTAATTCATGAATCTGTCTGAGCTTGTGATGCTAATGAATGGTGAGGGAAGGGATAGGGAATATTTTCGAATGTTGATTGACGGTGTTGTCGAAGGAGTGTGTGACGAAATGTGCATTCAGTTGAACTAGGATCGAATTCCGAAGTTGAATCGAGACAAAGCAAACAAGGCAGAGCAGTATTGGATTTCTGCCTGAATTTAAATACAAGGAAATTGGATGGTGCATGAGAAGTGTTCGACAGTTGAATAAGGATGGGAAGGTTCAAGGAAAAGAGTGCCTATTTGAAATGTTCTTTATTTCCCTTTGCCACACACATGTAGGCGCAGCCGGAGGATGAGGGCGGAATTTCCGAGGCACCGGTCTCATTGGACGGCTCGCAGTACATGAACGAGTTCTTCGCGCAGGTGGAGGAGATTCGCAAGTTCATAGAGCGCATCCAGGCTCTGGTAGAGGATGTAAAAAACAAGCACGGCGACATCCTCTCCTCTCCCAATCAGGATGAGAGTGAGTTCTAGTCCTAATTTTCCGTTCAAAGTAGTAAAGTGTGTTCTGAAGAGGCTTATACAAACATTCTGTAACCTTAATACTTTCATTTACGTAACTTGCTCTGTTCTTCATCCTGACGCCAAACTGACGGCGATTGTCTTGAAGTTAAGAGCATTGCAGGTTAGAAATCGGCGACTTCGTAATGTTTAAAGTTAAACTTACAGTTTTAGGTAGCTTACTTAGCTTGCGTCGACCCTGGTCTTTGGCCCCTTCATCTGTACCCCAAAATAAGATTTTTTTTACAGACAGAAACAGCTAGTTTATAACTAACGTTGTTACGATCTGCAGAACTAAAACGGTAATTTAGGGTTAACCTTGAAGGCGTTTTAGGACGCACTAGCTTGGAAGTGGCTTTGTTATTGACGCGTAGAAGGTCGAGGAAGTAGTAAGATGGGTAGTCTAAACAAGACCTTATTCTAATGATGCAAAGGTCGAAATTTGGGAGACTAGAAAGGTAGTGGATGTGGGCACCGTATTCAGATAGGAAATATTGATACGTTATGCCGATGTAAGGGTAGCGCCTGAGGCATTCCTGAATATGCAAAGGGGACCATCTTCATCACCGGTGCGCAAAAGGGCTGGAAGACAGGCGGCACAAAGTTGCCGTGAGCAGAACTTCATGTTATTCGTTTGAAGGCCGAGTTGCAGAAAACTGTGAGGATCTGTGCTCTATTACATCATTCTACCAGAGTCGTGTCTTTAAATTTCGTGTGCACCTTTTTTCCCAAAAGCTATAATGTGTGCCTTCTTCTTATTTAATTCTACGATGGCTGTGGAGCGAAAATTTGCAGATTGCTTTTATCTCTCCCATGATTATCACTAATCACGTTTAGAATGTACACCTTGGGTGAACCTTCTCATAATCAAGTGCTTAAACATTCTGTCACGGTCCAGCATTGCAATATCAGTTTTATCAAATATACAATGACAATTATTTTGTGCTTGTCT